AATGCTCATGTACAGGGCTTAAAAATTATTTTTAAGAATTGCAGTAAAATATATACAACAAAATTGGCCATTTTAACCGTACAGCTCTCTGGCATTTAAGCACATTCACATTGTTGTGTAACCAACACCACCACCCATCCCCAGAACGTTTTTCATCTTGTAAAACTGAAATTCTCTACCAATAAACAGTAACCCCTCATCCCTTCCCTCCAGCCCCTGGTAGCTCCCATTCACTTTCTGTCTCCATGAATCTAAACACCTCAAACTGGTGGAATCATACAGTATTTGTCTTTTTGTGACTGGCTTATTTCACTTTGCATAATATCCTCAAGTTTCCTCCATGTTGTAGCATGTGTCAGAATTTCTTTTTAAGGCTGAATAAGATTCCATGGTATGTATACAGCACATTCTGCTTATTTTTTTCACCCACTGATGGACACTTGGGTTGCTTCCATCTTTTGACTATGATGAATAATGCTGCTATGAACATAGGAGTAGAAATATCTGTTCAAGTCCCTGCTCTCAATTCTTTTGGATATATACCCAGAAGTGGAATTGCTGGATCATATAATAATTCTATTTTTAATTTTTGGAGGAAGTGCCATGTTGTTTTCCACTTGTATACATGTTTCTGTGTGAACATTTTATTTCCCAGGGGAAATGCCAAAAGACTGCAGTGGCTGGGTCATACGATAAATGCGTGTTTATTTTTGTAAGAAACTGCCAACTATTTTCCAGAGTGGCTGTACCATTTTATGTTCTCATCATTGGTCCAGTTTCTCTGCATCCTCACAAGCATTTGGTATTATATTTCTTTTTAAAATTTTAGCTGTTCAAATAAGAATGCAGAGATATCACACTGTATTTGTAACTTGCATTTCTCTAATGGCTAGTGATGTTAAACATCGTTTTATATGCTTCTTTGGCACCTGTACCTCCTCTGGGTGAAATATATATTCATGTCTTTTACGTATTAAAGGGTTTTTTTCCCCCAAATGCTTTCCAAATGCATCCAAAGGGAGTGGTCACTGTTCTACTCCAGGATGACGCCATATGGAATTTTAGTACTAGAGCTGCCATATCTGGTGATTTTCTTTCAAAAGAAGTCAAATGCCTGAATTTTTAAAATTAATTGGCAACTAATTAAAAACTTGGTGGGGAGCTCAGTGGTAGAGCGCCTGCTTAGCATGCAAGAAGTCCTGGGTTCAAACCCCAGACCTCCATTAAAAAAAATTTTTTTTAACTGTTAAGACACAGGAGGGTGAAGTGTGAGAAAAGGACATGTAGATGGTAAGCACAGGAGGGTCAACCTCCTCAGTGTTAAAAAAAAAAAAGGCTCCATAATTTTAAGTAGGATTTGTTAAGTTTTCCACCCTTGGCTTCTGCCAATTGAGCCGTAGCAAAAGACAAGGACAGAGGCTGGGGACTAGGCCAGATGTCACCTGTCCCCTCGAACGGGCCAGAGCACAAACATGAGACACTCTTGTGATGCGTGACAAGAACTGGGCTGAAAACCAGGAAACATAGGAGAGACGCTGCTTGGTCTTCAACCAGCTGTGTCCTTGCACAAGTCACCCCACCTTCCATCACCCCAGCACTAAGCTGTAAAATGTAGGGGCTGCATTAACCCAGTTGAGTGGTTCCAAACCCCAAGAAGAATGATCTCCCTGGAAGAGGAGGGAATTCTGCCAGCACATGGCCTCCAGACTTGAACTCAACAATGGTTCTTCCCTGGGTCTCCAGCCTGCCTGCCCACCCTGCAGATTTTGGACTTGCCAGCCTCCAGAGATGCAGAGCCAATTCCTCCAAATAAATCTCTCTCTTTACAAACATATCCTCTTGGTTCTGTTTCTTCGGAGAAGTCTGACTAATACCGATTTTGGCTGAATAGAGCCAAAGCTATCCCAAGCATTTAAAAAGCCTAAGAACCTCCATGTACCTAGTCACCCCTGGTAACTCTACACAAGTTAACTAAAAACCACTGGGTAGGTTTGCTGTGTTCTCTCGCTACTCTTGGTTTTTACTGCAGCTTCAGCTATGTCACTAACTAAACTGTGGAGGCAGCCTGGCTGGCCCAGTGGTTAAGAGCAGGGCTTGGCTTTGGAAAGTCAGCCTTGGGGCACTGCCCTTTATTAGCTGTGTGACTTACAGCAAGTTAAAGTTATCTCACCTTTCACCTCTATGAGTATGTTTCGTCACCCACAAACTGGGGATGACAACGACCTCAGGGATAGAAGTGTTATGATTTAGCTGACATTAAATTTTAGGAAATTTACAGAAAGTCAGTGGCCATTATTCAACAGGGGCTATAATCAGCATATCTTCCAAAACAAGATGTTCGAGAGAGGGGAAATAGTTAAGACAAAAGTAAGGTGCTGGCCCCACATCAGGAGATCAGTAACATCGAAAATGAGCCTTAACTGGTTATTTCCAAGGAATTTCCAGCTCTGACAAAGATAAATCTTGACCCCGGGCCCCAAATCAGTAAATGCCTCCCAACCCCGCCCTCGCCACGCCCACACCATAACTCACCCAACTCAGGGCCCCGCCCCCGCAGTAGCCCCGCCCCCAGCCTGAGTCTGTCCGGCCCCGCTCCGACCCCGGCCCGCGGCCAGCGCTCACCTGGATCTCCTGACAGGCCGAGGCCGCCCGCCGGCCCTCCGCTTGCTTCTCCTCGACGAGGCCCAGCCCCAGCCCGAAGGCCAGAAAGACAGCCCGGCCGCAAGGGCCTGCGCTGCCCCGGGCCCGCACCACGAACTGCCGCTGGAGCCGCGCCGCCAGCCCGGCGACTGACTGGCGGAAGAAGCGGTAGCGGCCGGGGAGCCCGAGACCGAGCCTGCGCGGCTCCGCGCCGGGTCCCGCGGCCTGGCCCGGGCGCTCTCCGCGGCCCCAGCCCGCCGCGGGGCCCGGCCGCTCGGGCCGCCCCCAGCCGTAGGTCGGGCCAGGCTTGGCGGTGAAGCGAAGCAGCAGCGCTCGGCCCAGCTGCAGGCCCCGGCCCAGCGCCTGTCGCACAGCCATGGTGGCGCGGCGGCCGGGTCTCCCCGGAGCCGCAGGCGGCCGGTACGCCGGTCGCAGCAAAAAACAAACTTCGGGGTCGGCGCCTCTGCGCAGGCGCGGGCGCCAGTGGGCGGGGCCGCCGCTCCGGCGGTTTCCTGGCCTGGCGTGCGAGGGCGCTGGGCGCACTCCTGCGTGGCGGGTGGATTTTGGTTCTTTTGCACCCAGGGTTTAGGGTTTTCCTGTCACGGAGCTCTTGAATCCGAACATCGCTGGTTCTGGGCAGAATCGAGAAATTGAGAAAGGAAGCTAATATTTATTGAGTATCACCCACCGTGCCAGACTCTTCACACTTGCTAATTGATTTTCCCACCAATGAGATAGGAGTATCATTTTTATGGATGAGAAAATTGAGACATAGAAAGGACAGTGACATCCGAGGTCAAATGCAGTGTCAGAGATGAGGTTAAAGCTCACGTTATCCTGATTGTTGCATCCTTGCTTTCCAGTGCCCTTACGCTCCTCTCAACAAGCCCACATTCCCTGCGTACTTCTTAGAAACCCAAGAGAAATCTCACACAAGGGCCACATTTTTCAGATTAGTGAACTGAGTTCCTGAGACATGGAGCGACTTGCCCAAAGTCACATAGCTTGTTAGTGGCAGAGCCCTGTTACCCAAAGCTGCTGTTAGGAATGGCAGGACACCAGGAAAGAGCAAGTAAAAGGCTTCACATCCCTTCCTTCCTGCTAATATGAAATTAAGGGACATGTAAATAATAGCTGTTGCTGGAGGGATCTTCAGTCATCTGAAGAGTTCTGGCCCAGGCTTGCTTGGCCATGGAGTGGACCCCTGTCTAGGGACAGGTGGCCAACTGTTTCAGCAGTGTGTGTGTTCTGATCTTTCCTATGGGGAGATAGCAAGGTCTTTGTCATATCCAATCATTTATTTGGGAGAGACATAAAATAGATGAATTTCTTTCCCATTTATTTATAGAGGCACTTGGAAATCAGATATTATCTTTAATTTTTTAATTGATCTCAGAGGACTTTAAATTTCAATTATAAAATGCTCCACTGACATTGTCCTTTGGAAAAAGAGAAGGACAAGAGGTTGGAGAAACTTCACACTCCAGTGACCACAGTCTGATCCATGGAAACTTGATCAGCTGGGGCAAAGGTCTCATTTAAAGTTTAAATCTACTCATCTGCTGTGTGTCATTAGCATGGCAGCTCCTCTCTTTAATGTTTACTGAGAAGGAACAAAAGGTTCTCTGAGATATTTAATATTTTAACTAAAAGAGTTTTCTTTACTCTCCTAGGAATGTAACCTTTTACCATGAGGTTTTTGATGACTACGCAGCTTGTAAGATATATTCACTAAAGGGACATTGAATTGGTGTTTTTGAGTTAAAGAGTGCATTTGTTATCAGCTTTTGGATTTGTTTCCCTAAGCTGCAAATAAACTTGCTGGACCTTTGATGCTTAACCTACCCACCTGCAGAAATGAAATGTCCAGACTGATGTTAGTTACCCTTCCATTGTAGACTGTGCAGTTTCTTATTCAACAGGGAGCCCTGAACTGGTTCCTTTCTCTTTCTGCAGAAAAGTCTAAATTGCTTATGACAGGTCGGAATCCAGCACAGCATGAAGACTGATTCTTTATCAGACTTCCGTATGGAAAGGGCAAGCGGGTGGATTTCTATACAAAGAAGCTTCCAGCAGGAATCAAAAGGTTCCATGTTCTCCCTTCTCAGGGGAGAGATCCAGCCTTACTGTGTGCGGCACAGGGGCTGCCTTTCAGAGGGTTCATGGCTTTGATTCCATCATCCCTTATCTCTTCTCCTGATGGTGTCATGTCTCAGGTCTCAGGGGAATCATCCCCAGGTTCTCCAATAGCATCTTCTGTCTATTGATATCCTATGCCGGTGAATTGGAGATTTAGCATATGGTTTTCTGCCAAGGTATCTGTTTATACTTCAGATTTAATATTCGGTCTGAGAGTCTCATTCATTCAGAGAACATTTATTAAACATCAACCACATACCAAGCAGTCTTTGATATGCTCATAGGCTCAGCCATAAGAACTAGAGGAGAATGGAGGGGGTTGCTGGGAAGCCACAGGATTCTTATCTGGTATACACACTGCTCTGTGGGCATCTTGTGTCTTTATTGTACCTTTTTCCCTCCAGGTAGCAAGACTGCACAGTTTTGATAAAGTGCATAATATTCCCAAGAAGCATCATTTAACCTTCCCCCAAAGGACACGGGCAGGGGGGAAGCTGATGCTAATGGAAAAATGGAAAAAGACACGACTTTAAAAAAAGACCTGTTGAGGACTGTTTGACCTTCCCTCGTGGACGACGTACTTTGGCACCATTTCAATGCTCTCTGTCTCCTCCTGGCAGGAGACAGACACATTTCCCCAGGGCAGCAACATCCTTTATCCACAGACCATTTCAGAAATGCTATCTCTAAATTGCCAGCAGAGGTGGAAGGAGTTTTTGCTAAAACTGTTGACAGAGCAAAGCTGCTGCCAGATCAAAAGCCAGCAACTTGGAACTCCTGGGCTGTAGTTTTTGGAGGTGAGAATCAGACAGCGGTAGGCAGAGTGTGAGGTTTCATTGGGAAGAAGTGTCTCTGTTTTGCTTGGGCAAGATGGAAGAAAATGTGGTAGTGGTGGATTGTAGAGATGTTGTGTTGTCGAGAAACTCAGTCCATGTTTTATGCAGCCCAATAAATTTGCTGCCTTGCAGTGATGATTCAAGGTACAAATATGTCACCTGCTGCTTAAAGTCCTTCACAGGCGCATTGCCCATGCTATTGCTCCTGGGATGGAGCCTAAGCTCTTTAGCCTGACAGAGAAGGTCCTTCACTCTTTGGCTCTAGCATCTTTCTTGCTATCCCCCTTCCCTGCCCTTTGTGGTCCAGCGGTACCAAATTACCTGCAGTTATCTCAAGCACCATGTAGATCCCTCTGTCTTAATTTACCTCTTTGAAAGAATCCCCATTCATACTTGAGGTCATCACCTCCAGGAAGCCTTCTTTGACCTTTCCTAGACTGGGCTAGATGCCCCTTCTCTATCTGCCCCTCTAAACTGTGAATTCTGTAAAGATGGGGATTGTGATTTTTAAACCTTAGATCCCCTAGCATGGGGCTTGATGGATCTTCAGCCTTTGAGAGCCACCTGGGAACACAAGCTGTGAGTGGGTAGGCTCACCCCCAAATGGGAGGAGAGAGGAAGAAGCTGGGCTATTCTTTCAAACTCCCAATCACATGACTCACTCCTTCTCCCCCGGGGTGAGTCAGAGGAGAGCCAGAAGGAAATAACAGGAATGTCAAATAGCTCACTCTCAACCCCCAACAGAATCAACTACTACATTTGCTCTCTAGCATTTATACTACATTATTCCTAAATGAATTTCCTTTCTACATCTTCTTTCTTTTTATTCTTTCTGATTTTTTTCAATTAAAAAGTCCTTAAATAAAAGTAATACATATACATGATTTAAGAAACACTAACAGAAAAAAAAACAATAAAATGGAAAATTATACTTAAAAAAAAAGAAACACTAGCAGAATATAGACATAGTCTTATCATGAAAAGTAATTGTCTCCTGTTTCAACTCCTTCTAAGCCCAGAGGCATAATCTTTTACTTTTTCAGCTATTTTGTCTATGATTTCCTTCAGTTCTCTAATATCTCCTGATTAAGCAGACTGAGCTATTGAAGGCACAAAGCTGTCCATGTCACTCACCTACCCCCGAGTCTAAAACTGATGGTGGCCCTTTGGAATAAGGTCAACTCCTTAACAGAGCCAACCAGTCCTTTTCTATTGGTCCTCTTGCCACCCTTACCTACTTTTCTGTTTTCTTTTCTTTTCCTTGTCCATGTGCATTTTCAATTTTTACATCTTTAGAGTGACCACCTCCTGGTATCCATGCCTTGGCAGAATCCCCTCCCCTTGACTGTTGGTTGGACTTCATTGACTTGCTTCTAAGGAATAGAATTTGGCCAAAGTGATGGGATATCACCTTCATGGTTAGGTTACCAAAAAACTCAGGCTTGTGTCTTGTTCCTCTTCTTGCTCTCTTGCTTCTTGCTTCTGAAGGAAGTCAGCTGCTATGTTGTAAACTGACCTGTAGAGAAGTCCACCTAACAAGGAACTGAAGAGTAACTGCAACAGCCCATAGGAATCCTGCCAGCAACCACACACGTGAGCCTTGAGGTAGATCCTTCCACAGTCGGGGCTTCAGATGATCCTGCAGCCCCAGTAGATGCCTTAACTGCAGCCTTATATCAGACCTTGAGATGAGCCAGATCAGCCCAGACTGCTGACCTGCAGGAACTGTGTGATAATAAATTTTTGTTGTCCCAACCTGCTAAATTTTGGCATAATTTCTTATACACCAGTAGATAACTAATGCAATTATTATGGCATATTATTTTTCTGCTCAGTTGTAGGGTTTTTAATTTCTCCTCCCTTAACTTCCCCTTCCTATACCCCTCAAAAATTATGAACAGACTGGGTGTTCCTTCCATGCCTGTTTCTGTGCTCACATAATCATATAAAAATTTTTATGTGTGCATGAGACTTATTAGGCCATTTCATTTTTTCTTCTTGAACAGCATTTTCTAGCTTCATTTGTGACATGGGCACCCAAAGTACCCCTAGCATCTGTCAGTCATAGTTGGGTTCTCCTCTGCTCAAAGGAAATTCCAAAAGAATCTTGATTCCATAAGCAATTAGCAGCAGCTGGCAAGAGAGCAGAAATATACATGCTTCTATTTACATCCATGGGAATCTGGGACTCAGCTTCCTTAAAAACACGGACAGCCCTGAACAATAGAGCGTGTGCTGCTCTGAAATCACAGCCCTCAGAACAGTAGGACTGAAAAATGAAGGTGCTTTTATTTTAAACAAACAGCCCAGCCTCTCGGCAGCCAAATGAATGTCATTCTACCAAGGGAACATCGTTCAGACAATTCCTGGAATCTTTCTTCGCAAATGGCCTTCCCCAGTCTGCATCCATGAAGGATAAGAACACTGAGCTTAGTCCTCCAGACAGTCCTCATTTTTCGCTCCTCTTCAAACCCCACTCCTTAACTGGCTGGCTCTTCTGGTGCCCTGGCTGAGATCTCCCCTCCTCAAGGCTGCCCTGCCCACTCCTCCTGCCACTTGCCCCCAGAGCACTTTCTTCCCCTTGAGTGACCCTTGTCATGAAGTATAGAATCATTAAAAAAAAATTACAGAGAATCATGTAGATGTCATTTCCCACAGGTAGACAGAACCCTGTGAGGGGAGGGATTTTATCTGTTTACTGTCACATCTTCAAGGTCTGGTCCCTGCCCTAGAACATGGTAGGCACTTCAAAAATAATTATTAAATGAATGTAGAAGCCTGTTTGCAAAAAACAAATCCATCCTCGGAGGACCCAAATTTGTTACCCATAATGAAAGTAACAGCTGACATGTATCGAGACCTTCCTGAAGACTCAGCGCTGGGCTCTTAGTAGTGTCTGATTTCCTTCAGTCCACCCAGTAATGTGCTGGGAATGATCATCCCTGTTTTACAGATGAGCAAACTGAGACTCAGTTGTGTGATAACTTGCCCAAAGCCACACAGTTTGGAGGCTGTTCATCTCCAAAGTTCAACCATTTAACCATTATGCTATAAGATTTTTTCTTGTTAAATTTTAAAAGATGTTTGGAAATTTAAAAATACAGATATGGACAAAGGGAAAAAGTCACGAATCTGCATTCCCAATGAGCAGAATTGTAACAGATGTTGTTGGCCTATTTTCTTCAGCTTCCTTCTTCTTTTTCCTCCACTCTTCTTTGTTGAGAACATTGAGAAGAGTGTGCTGAAGGTCCCAACAGCCATTTCTAAAGAAAGGCAGGGTGGAGTTTTGCATCATGCAGCGATGATGGAAATACTTTCCTGTCTCTCAAGACGGCAGCTGGTAGGTCTGGATGTGCTATGGGAAAGCCAATCTTACCAGACAGCAACCCCTGCAGGTGCTCTGATCTCAGTGGAAAGGACTCCCAGGGAAGGGATGAATTACCCGTCCACTCCCTGTGCCCCCAGCGACTTGCTTGCCTAGGAAAGAGGAAGCCTACACTCTATTCCTACCCCCTACCCCAGGCACTAAAGCTGCTCCCAAGGCCATCTCCTCCAGGGGTGACACCCAGAACTGTCAGCCCCTTTTGGATGGCCAGCCTGGCTCCTTCCCTTAGTCTTCACCTTCCTAATTGCAGCATGAAAGACAGTCCTCTCCCTGACCCTCCTCACTTCCCAGAAGGCGGCTTCTCCACCCTACCCTACCCCACCCCACCCTCGCCACCTCAACCATGCCCACTTTGCATTTGGTCCCCGCCTGGATCCCAGTGTGTGTTTCTGTGCATTAGTCCCGTTGACACCTCTCTCTCCCAGCCAGAATGCAAGTTCCTCTAGGGCAGAGACTGTTTCTTACACATCTTTTCCTCTGCAGTATTTGGTGTATAAAAGAGACTCAATAAATAAAGGCAGTCAGACTTCAGCTGTGGAAGAAAGAGAAAAACAGGGGGAGCCAGACAGACCTGGTTCAAATTCCAGCTCCTCACATCCCAGCGCATGGCAAAGAGCAGGCTCCTTTTCTAGACTATAGTGGAAGTTACGGGACTTAGATTCTGGTCTGAACTTTGCTGTAGTCCTAAAGCAAGTTACTCAGCCTCTCTGAAGCCCAGGGAGAAGGGGGAGATACCCTTGGTCGAGTTGTTGGATACTTTAAATACAAAATAATCCACACAAAATTGCTTGACACAGTGGATCCTCATGGAAACACTTGCTATGCTGTCTAGACAAATTCACACCTCCTCCTTTATACTTTGGAATCTCTCAGCCATAACTGAGGTGGTGATGGCATCTGGTCCCCAGGTCTAACTGAGCCCAAAATAGAATCCAGAAATGGCTTTTGGCAGTTCAACCCAGCCCAGCGGCCTACCGTCTGGAGAAGGCAGGGCTAAGATGCCTAAAAGTCAGCACTCTCCAACTGTAGTTCCAAGGTGCCCATTTCCTCTCCCGGCAGAAAGAGTCCAGGTCTTTCTATAAGGACAAATCACCCTGTCCCTCCTAAGAGCTGTAAGCAAGGCTTGAGACAGAGCGAAACATGCTCTCCTGAATCAGGATGTTCTATTATAATTAGAAAAGTCGCTCAGAGCAGGATAGAACTTTGGGAAGGCTGACGGGGAAGCAGCACAGTCTTGGCTGGAATTTTACAGAGGGCCCACAGGAGGGAAAGACAGGGACAGGGTGCTCTGCATCCCGGGAGGACAAAGCAAATTACAAGGAGGGGCTCTGGTCCAGGCTGGAGTGAAACCCTTTCTCACTCCAGTAGAAACCCCAGTGCTTGCGTGGAATTTGGAAAAATCATCTCTGCCCAGTGCCTGTGGGGTTGGGGCCCATTCGGCAGGTGTCCTTGGGTCTGTGAAAATGTCTTTGTGAAGTTCTCTGGGTGGCTGTCCCTTTAGGCACGTGTGGGAACCCAGGGTCTCCCAGGCGGTGGTGCTCTCCATTCTTCACTGGATCTTCTGCAGGTCCTCGGGCCCAAAGGAGAAAGGCAGCAGCTCCTGGACTGTCCTGACAACGTAAGTGCCATCCGGCTTGGTCATGTAGACAGCCCAGTTGGTGCCAAACTGGAAAAGAGGCAAAGCCGGTGTTAGGGAGGGAGGCAGTGTGGCCAAGGGGTTAGGGCGGACCTCCTACTGTCTAACATTCCTTGGTTTCCTTACCTATAAAATGGGAATGACAATAACCATACCTGGTTTGTAGAGCTTGAGGGAGGAGCCAATGAAAGATGGCACGTTAAGCAGTTAGCACGGTGCCTGGCACATTGTTAATGGGTAGTAAATGCTCCATTCTGTGATCAAGAACCCATGCAGGGCTTTATAAGAATGAAATCTGTCCACTGACAGATGTCTGTATGAAGAAGTCGTGGTGTATATATATAAATACACACAATGTAATACTACTCAGCCATAAGAAAGAATAAAATAATGCCATTTGCAGCAACATGGATGGACCTGGAGATCGTCATTCTAAGTGAAGTAAGCCAGAAAGAGAAAGAAAAATACCCTATGATATCACTTAGATGTGGAATCTAAAAAAAAGGACACAAATGATCTTATTTACAAAACAGAAACAGACTCCCAGACATAGAGAACAGACTTACGGTTACCAGAGATTAAAGGTGGTGGGAAGGGATAAATTGGGAGTTTGAAAATTACACCTCTTGGGGAGTGATGGAAATGTTAGCTATCTTGATTGTGGTGGTGGTTTCATTGGTATATACACATATAAAAATTCATCAAATTGTACGGTTGAAATATATGTAGTTTACTGTACAGGGACCATAACACAATAAAGGTTAAAAAAAAAAGAACAAAATCTAACCCCTGGGACCAGACTCTTTCTGCTGTGACAAAGAATGAGGAATGTCAGCTTCCCTTATAGCCTCTCGTTTACTCCCCACGGCCAGGAGAAGTCGCGGGCCTGCCTCTTCACAGACCAGACTTTGAACATGCAGGATTTCACTATCTACCATTTGAGGTAGGTGGATGTTATCCCCATTTTACTGATGAGGAAACTGAGGCTTAGCAGGGTAATGCCCACAAAGCAGAATTTTAGCCCAAATCTGTGCCTCCATCTTTCTCTTGCAGATCAGGACTTACTTACTCTTACAGAGCAACCACTTGGTTGCTGTGTGATGTTGGGCAAATGATTAAGCTCTTTGCGGGGGAGGGAGATAGCTCAGTAGTACAGTGTGTGCTTAGCATGCATGAGGTCCTGGGTTCAATCCCCAGTAATTCCATCAAAAAAGAAAATTTCAAAAAACAAAACAAAACAAAAACTCTATGAGACTCAGCAGTCTTGATGTGTGAAGGAGACAAAGGAATGTTTTAGGAAGAGAGTGTCCTCGGTGGAGAGTTAAATCAGCTGTGGCTAATGGAGAGTTCTGGGGTTGGAGTCAACAGACTGAGGCTCTACCTGGCCAGGTGTTGTGAGAATTAGAGGCGATGGGTATAAATTCCAGGCATGCAGTGCCTGCAACAGAGTAAATACTTCATTAACGGAAGCCACTGCTGTTGACGACTAGTGGTTACTAGTCACCGCTCAGGTTTGCATCCTGTCTTCCTGACGCTTCGGTCTGAATCACCACATTATTACCAGGCACAACCCATCTCCTTGCTTTTTAAAATTAAGGTTTTTAAGGAAGGAAGTCTGCTTGGCAGGCTGTGCCTGAGGGTATGGGTGAAAGCTGAGTGGAGAAGAGTTTAAGTGCCAGGTCCCTGGCCCCCAAGCTTCAGCTCTGTTTATTTGAATTTTGGTTTCCGTTTTGCCTCTCTTTCAGCTTTTCCATTTGCCTTCTCTGGTTTGCCAGCATCTAATCTGTTTAGAGAAAACAGCAATGAGCAATTAGGGCCTCAGGAGTCAGGGAGCTGGCGTCCTGATGCGGTTTCCTCATGTGGCCTTGGACATACCACGGTGCCGGGCAGCCATTCCTGCCCCTCTAAGGGGAGAGGAATTCCCTGCTGTGAATTCAGTGCCTTCGCGGTGGCATTTTTCTTCTGGGTTTGGGAAATGAGTTCTGTTAACCGTGTCTGCAGTCCTGGCAAGAAGCAGGAGGCGGATGGAGGTGTCTGCATGTTCAACAGATACTTTAAACCCCGAGGTACAAAAGCATAACTTCAACAGCCCCCACTCCCCCCAAATTCAAGCAACTCCCAAAGCAGAAGGCCTCATGGAGTAAGCAATGCCTATTCTGCAAAGCACCGTTACGTCTCCTCGTGGCCGGAAATAATTGGAACCACAAAGGCAGGGAGGCAGCTGTGTGGAGTGCAGGCTTTGCAGTTCAGCCCGAACCGACCGTGAACACCAGCTCACCACCGACCGGCTGTGGGACTCCCACCAGGTGATTTCACTTCCCTGGGATTTTGGGGATAACGACCCACACTCCCCTCATAGGCTGGATGTGGAGATTAAATGAGATCTGCATTTAGAGGGGTTGATGAAGTCACAGCAGAGCTCCAGGGCCTGGGGAGTCTTTAAACTGTTGGCTTTAGCCTTGGGAGATTCTGGGGGACTCAGCCCCTCTGTGAGTCCACCAAAGCTACTGATATCTCCCCTCCCCGAATGTCCGTATCACATCAAAAACTGCACTGAGCCTGGATTCAGAGCCCACGACCAAATTCCCCCCTTTGTTTTTAGAGTTGAAAAAACCGGGTCTGCCAAGAAGACCTTTCTAAAAAGTGCATCAGCCCATTCTTAAAAACATCCAACAAGTTCCCTTTATTCCTTTCTTCCCCCAACTTTTGTTTTAGTATCGTAACCTATACATAAGATTTACCATTTTAACCATTTTTAAGTCTATAATTCACTTCCCTTTATTCTTGGAATAAAATATACCCTCCATCCATGGCCTCCTAGGCCCTGTGTGATCTGGCCCCTGCCCGCCCCTCTGACTTCACAACCTAACACTTCCTCCTCCTCATTTACCATGTTCTAGTCTCTCTGGCCTTCATGTGACTTCTCTAACTCTAACCCAAGTGTATGGGCATTAAGCTTGCTGGTTCCGGCTGGAAACCTCTAGACCTCTGTGTGCCTCATCTTTTCTCATTGTTTATATCTCTGTTCAAATGTCATCTTCAGAGAGGCTCTTCCTGGCCATCTAAAGGAGGGGTTGGCAAACTTGTCTTCCATAGAGGGCCAGAGAGTAAATATTCTAGGCCTTGTGGGCCATGAGGTCTGTGTTGTAACTCCTCATCTCTGCAGTTGTAGGGTCAGAGCAGCCAGAGACAATATGTGAATGAGTGGGCGTGGCTGCGTGCCGATAAAACTTTATTGACAACAAGCTGCAGTCCGGATTTGCCCGTGGGCTGCTATTTGCTGACCTCTGACCCTGATCTTTCTGTTCCTTCTGTCACTCTTGACTCCTTTTTTCCTGCATTTTTCTCTCTGTAGCCCTCATCACTCTCTGAAACTCTACTGTTTATTTCTTTTGCTCCTTGTTTATTGTCTGTCTCCCGCGCTAGACGTTCACTGCTGTCTCCCCAGAGCAAGGTCAATGTGTAGCACAGAGCAGACGCTCACTCAGTAAGTATTTGTTGAATGAAAGAATAATTTCCAGTGACTCATGCAAGCTTGGGGAGGCCTTAGCAGTCAGCCAACCCAGCAAACAGGACAGTCGCTGTGTCTCCCCGCCGGCAGCTTGGCTTGGCTCCCACAGCCTGGGAAAGCAGGGAGGCGTCCGTTCCAGGAAGAAAGAGAAGCTGCTTACCTCTCTCATGACTTGCCTGCAGGCCCCACATGGTGAGATAAAATCATCTTGCAAGTCACTGGGGAAGGAGAGAATCAGACATGGATCAGTCTCTTCTGAGGCATAAGGGCAGTTGTTAAAATTCAGGCCCTGCGTCCTGCCGTGCTCCAGATTAAGTCAAATCCTGCCAGGCAGTTCCTAGTTCACAGATGTGCTGTGTCTCGGAGGCTGAGAAGATGCGCACAGAGCTCTCCACACTTGCAAGAGGCAAGGCTGTGGGCAGGACCATTATTTTCATCAGTGTGTTCAATAAACATTTAGTGAGCACTGGCTGTCACTTCTACCCCAGGGACACAAAGGTTAAGGAGAATTTGTGTCTGGCCTTCGAGAGATTGCTCAGCCCAGTGGGTGACACAGAAAACTAGATGAGTTATTATTTTAAACAAAATGCAATAAGAATGCATGGTTAGAGGGGGACAACCCCTTCCTAGGGAAGGAGAGAGAATATTTAATGGAGTAGGTGTAGAATTCCTAAGTCACCATGACTGAGCCCCTGCTATTGTACCAGACACTCTATACATTATTTCATTTAATTCTCAGTATAACCCGAGTATCAGAATGATCATTTTACCTCCAAGGACACAGGTTCAGTGAGATAAAGTAACAGAGGTGCTATTCTTTCTTTTTTTTCCAAAAAAAAATTTTTTTGTGGGACGTAATTAGGTCTATTTATTTTTTAAACGGGGATACTGGGGATTGAGCCCAGGGCCTCATGCATGCTAAGCACAAGATCTACCACTGAGCTATAACCTCTCCCCCAGAGATTCTGTCCTGAAGCTCTGGGTTTTTCTGTGTTGCAGGCAAAGGAAACAGTATATGCAAAGGCCCAGAGGCATGAAAAAATAAGACAAATGTCAGTAAATGAGAAAACTGAGCTCCTTGCACCTGAGGAAGTCAGAGCAGAGAAGCTTACAGCCTAGGATTCGTCTCTGAGAATGAGGGCACCTGCAGGCAGCCCTCTAGCTCTGAGCAGGACAAAGGATGGTGCTTAAAGAAAGAGTAAACTGCAAGAAACTCCAAGCCCGATGAGGCACCAGAGGTTAAGCCAGTGGCCACCATCATCTTTGCTCTTCTAAGACCCACACCTTGGTGATATCTCTGGAAGATGATAGGATTTAAAACTGGGTTCTTGACCGGCTCCTCCTTTTGTTAGGTAGTTAGATTAGTGGGGGCAGCAGGCAGACAGGTGGAGGAGAGGAAGGATGGTCTGGAAGATGACGTTGTGCCCTCCTCCAGCATAAAAGCACTTTACTTCTAAATGAGCGCCAGCAAGAAATCAGTTAGAACCCAACAGCCACGACTGCGTGGTAGCAGAAAGGACTTAACCCGACATGACCCAATGTTCATTATGTTATAATTAACATTGTGGTTTAGGGCCCCCCATGGGTTTTTCTGTGTACACCATGGTGAGGACACGCCCAAAGGGGCCACACATGACTAAGCATTCCAGGGACAAGAACTGTCACTCAATCAAGGGACGACATCTAAGCGAGGGTATGAGAAGGGGGAGACAAAACCCGCCACTCTTCCTCCCTTGGATCAGCCCGCCCCCCGTTCTTGAAGGTGTGCTTTTCCTTTCCTAAATAAACCTTTTAAAGTCTTTCAATACACGATGCACTGTCTCCCAACAGTAAACTTATCTTTCGGGTAAGACAAGAACTGGGGTCTTTACCTTTTGGGGTAACACTTTTACTAACTACGTGTGACTGACCAAGTCATTTTTAACCCATGCAAGGCTCATTTCTTTGCCTACAAAACGTGAGGAGTAATGTTGTCCACTTTGTAGGAATGTAGGAGTCTAAAATGAGCTGGGTGTGTGAAGGGCTTTGTAAACTTTAGCGTGCTCTGCATCTATGATCATTGCCTCTACTAATTACTAGGCACTATTCCTTTACGTATAGAAGCTCTGTCATAATTTTAGTACCTTATCGTATACAGTATTATGATATATTAGGTGATAACAAGAGATGTGTGAGTCGATGAGAAAACTGGGCTCCTTGCATCTGAGAAAGACCTTGCTGTCTGGAAGGGAGATAAAATCTGAATGTAAATGCCATAACACAGGCAGACTGTGGTTAGGACCATGCAAGGGGTGCTTTGAGAGAAATTCAGCCTCCCTTCAGTGGCCTGGATGGCTCTGTGTGATCTGGCCCCTACCAAGCTCACTACTTCCTTTCCAAATCATGTGACACGTATGGGTAACTGCTCAAGGGACAGCTCCTTCGACAGGGTGAGCTGCATTAGGGTTTCAAGGTAAGGTGTGAACATGCATTCCACTGGGATGTTGGATTTGGCCTCAAGTTCAACCACCAAAAGTCACAAGATGGTGGTGCATCCTGGTAGCGTGGCTCTGAGAACTGGGAGTCAGCCCGATAGTAAGAATGGTTCACATTTAACATTGCCCTTGTGTGTGCCAGGCACTGTGCTAAGGACCATACGTGATGTAACCTATCTAATCCCCAACAATCCTCTAAGATAGGGCCAATGTAAGTACTCTTATTGTCTACGTGTCATCAGTCATGAAAGGTCACAGAGCTGGTAACCATGACTGGACCCAGGGTCTGTGTGCTCTGACGTGGATAGTTCTGCAGCCTGCAGAGTAATAATGATAACGTTAAAATGATAGTTTTAATTTATTGCATCCTCAGAGTCTTCCCAACAGCCCAGTGGGTAGGTGTTACTCTCCTTCACTTTATGAAGAAAAGCCGGGTTCTGATTGTTGAAGCAATGTGCCTGAGGTCAACAGCGGAGCAGGATTTGAAACCAGGTCTCACTGATCCTGGAGCCTGGGCTCTTTAGCGTTACTCAACATTCCAGCCAAGAGAAAGAATTAAAAGCTTGGGAGAAAGAAGCATCCCAGAATGCTTTGGGTGCAGAGGGACCCTCCCTCCTCACGCCCCACCTCTTCTCCCTCTTCTCTGCCCTTTATCTCTCCTGTTTTGTGCTGGGAAGTGAGAGTTCCCTGTGGTTCATGCTGACCTTGATCCACGCACCGAGGCCAGCTTATCAGACTTGACAGGCTGGAAACTTCTTGACTTGGATGATGAGAGCTGAGACCCCAGCAGGGGCAAGCTTATCTCCCCATTAGCAAAATCCCACCTGAGCTGCATGCTCTCCATCTGATAGATCTCGAAGGGGTTCTCTTAGACTCCTCACACCCATCAATGTTAACAAGGGGCCTGCTGCTTCCCACTCATCCTTTCAATGCACACTCTCAATTTAAAAATCATTAGTGCAGTAATGACTGTGTTTCTGGCTCAGGGATGCCGGCACTGGCTGAGTACTCGGAGAGGAGCAGTTGGGTGCTGGGAAAATGCAGTTTTTGTATAAACAAGGACATTTGCTAATCATCACTAGCATTACCCAGTCATGTTTCAAAGTAGATAATGACCAAGAGAAAAAGTCTTTCATCCAGAACTTTCTAAACAGAGCAAGGCCACCTCGCCATTATCCTTTCGTTGACTTTGGCCTCCTTTCCCTCAGAATATCATTATTTTCTTGGATCAGCTTTGAAACTGAGTTATTCCCCACCCCACCCCCTTTTTATAAAGTGTAATTCACATCCTGATCTCGGCTCATCTGCACAAAATGTTCCCAGCGCGGCCTCATTTATTCCTTCTAAAAGCCGGAGAGAAGCCAGAACAGAACTCGGTCACAGGGAGAGCTCTCGGAAGCCGGAGGCCCTCCTCCAGAAGGGCATCCTCAGGTCTGGGTACTCAGGGAAAAAACCTTCAATGATGTGGACCATCGGGCCAAATTTAGAATCTGATAAAAGAAATGGGGGCTGGTTTCTGTCACTCGACCCCTATTGGCCTTGCTCCAGGCCCCTGTATTTCTGCCAGAAAGACCCTGCCCCTCTACCACAATGAAGAGCTCATTCACTCCTAGTCCATCACCCATGCGCCCAGATATCCCTTAAGACCAACCTTTGTCAGCCATTCAGTCTCTTTCTGGGTGAATTCAACATTTCCCGTGTTTTATCTTCTTGCACCATCATCTTGCTCAGAGAACTCTCTCTCGTAGACAGTGCAACGGTACACACAAGAGCAATCCATCATTAAATCGGTAGTGTAATGGGGTCCAAATGAACCAAAGAGCCCGTTCACATGCCTTGAATACTGGATCCACTAAGTCTGGGTCCAGGGCCAGCAAGAATTCTCTATGAGGGTACACATATGGGAATTTGGATATTTATGTTTGGGCATGCAGAGAGAGTTGATAAGAGCTCTTGTTCAGCCAGAACTCAGGCTGAAATCTGGTTAGTTCAGCCCCTAACCTGGGTTTACCTGGCTGTCACCCCACCAGCCTGTCCTTGTATTCTTGGTTCTTGCCAAGTGAAGGAACAGGCTTGCACAGTGAAGGAAAGATCCCAGTACCAGCTCAAGGAGGGCAGGGAAGAGATCTTCCTTTCCTGGCCCAGCACGGCACGGTGGAATCAGCCCTGGTGAGATTCCAGACATTTGTCCTGGCTTTGCCACTAATTCCCAGGAAAGTTGCTCAACTTCTCTGGGCCTGTTTCTTCAGCTGTAAAATGGGTATAATGGCAGAGGAGTCAGTCTATACCAGGTGATCTTTAGGTCCCTCTAGCTTTAGGTTTCTACGCTGCCTTTCTGTTGTATCTTGTAGGGATTCTGCTGTACTTTGTGCTATTATTAGAACCACAGCACACCTACCCTTGTCTTAGAGTTGTCTTGGTTGTTTACCTGCTCTTCAAGCTCACCAAGGGCAGTGTCCATTTCTTATTTATCTTCTACCCTCAGCACTCAGCCCAGCCCTGCAGTGCCTGGCACATAGGAGGCACAGAATAAACACATTAGATGACTGAATGGATTAATAACAGGTGTGTGATGGATGTTGGCTGAACAGATGAACAGATATTGCTACGACCTGCCTTTTGCACTCACCTGGCGATAGCAATTGCCCTGAACTCTTTGTACCCTTCTGAGATGGCCTTCTGGATGGCGGTCCGTTCGGCACAGATGCCCAGCGGGTAACAGGCATTTTCTATGTTGCACCCTGAGAAGAGAGGAGAGCCCAGCGGTATTTCCAGCAGAACCACTTCCTGTTGCATGTGTTGAGTAAAAGGCTTGCCCCATTCCAGGGCAGGGAGGGACTCGCTACTCTGAACAAGGTGGTAAGAAGGAGAGGGTAATTTGACTGGAAGCATTGGGAGGCTCTGTGACCCCACTGGTATGGTGGCCCTTCCCAAGAACCTCCCACTCTCATCACTCACCCAGTGCCTGCATCTCAAAGCATAGCTTGGGAGCAGGGGGAGCATAAGAGGGCACATGAACCCAGCCTCATCTCCCCAGCAGAGGTCAAGGCCAAGGGAGACGCTGAGGCTTAAGATGGCGAGCAGAGCCCCCTGGATCTCAGAGACAGAAGTCACAGGGTAGGGCGTGGTGGTGATTCAGATTCAAAGATTGGGCCTGGGTAAAATTTTTGGTGTAGATACCAGCTGTCAGAGTTTAACCTGGGTTGTATTGCAAAACAAACTGTCAAAACCAACAAACTAACAAACAAAAAGTCCCCAGGCTTTGCAAAAGGTGTCCATGATTGCATAAGCCTCAAGGCAATCAATCTCCAGGCCTCCGGAGGGAGGTGGGCTACTGCGGCTGCACAGCCTACAGTAAGGGGGTCCTCACCAGTGTCCCTGTCCGGAGTGTCCCTGGGGATAGTGGGCAAGAGCTGCTCCCAGGAGACGAAACATTGGCATAACCAGATTGGCTGACTAACAGACTCTCCATTTTTAGGGAGGTGAGACCATGAAGAAATGGTCACAGGAGCTGGACTTTCTCCCCCGACCATCAGGGTGTGATACATGGTATGTCACTCTCCGTAGCATGCCCTGCTCCCTGAGGCAGGATATTCATTATTCCCCAGTATTCATTTTCTCCTTCTTCCTTTAAGCAATGCAAGTGATGCCCTTTCCAACATGGCTGATCACATGGCCACTCAGAGACTACATTTCCCAGCCTCCCTTGCAGCACAGTACGGCCATGTGACTAAGTTTACTTAATGGGAGGTGGGCCAAAGGGAGGTGGGAAACTTTTAGATCACATCTTTTGTACAGAGAATGCTTGCCCTTCCTTTTTTTTCCTCCCTGCCACAGGCTGGGATGGGGTAAGACGGCTTTGACCATGTGCTTTATGGTCATCGGGATGGAAAAGCAACAAAACAAAAGGAACCTGGGAGACCCTGGTTAACGCATAGAGCAGAGTGGAGTTGCCTATTTGCCCTGGACCAGCTGCCTATGCCAAATCATTATGTGAGAGAAAAAGAGAATTCTGTCATGTTTGAGTCATTATATTTTGGGATCTTTGTGTTAGAGTAACTGAACCTATATCTAACTAATACTGAGATTTGTGCTGAAAATAAGATGTAGCTCTAACAACAACAAAAAATTGAAAATAAGTAGCCTTGGCTTAGCAGTTGGGCAACGTGAAAGGAAATACAGACTAGGCAAGACAGAAAGCTAGTAGCCCTCGCTGCTCTGTGGCAGACCCTTTGGTACAGCCCTGCCCTGCGATAACCTGGAAGGCAGACCACGTTTCCTACCACTGGATTTCTCTTCCTTGCAATGTGAGTCAGCCCTGTGGCAGAGATCTGATTAAGGCTGTCATCTCCTCCCAGCCATTGTTCTGGGTCCGTCAAGGTAGCCACCACTAAAATTAGGCAGTAGGGTTGGGCTGGGCAGGAAAGCCAGTTATTGCAAAAGGGGAGTTGGCACATTTAAGAACTATCCCCAGAAAGGATTTTTTGGGTGTGGTACTCCTGTATGAAAGTGATTGGAAGCAAACAGACCAGAGGTTTCTAAGGTTTCGATAGCACTGGAGAGCCAAAGAAGCTAAAAGTCTGGCCCACAAAAGCCTGTGGTTGTTCAATCCCTAAAAACATCCCTGGGCCCTCAAAACTCTACCATCAGAAGTAAGTTGAGAGGGATGGGGAGGGTATAGCTCAGTGGTAGAATGTGTGCTTAGCATGCACTGGGTCCTGGGTTCAATCCCTAGTACCTCCACTAAGAAAATAGATAAATAAACCTAATTATCACCCCCACTCTCAGCCAAAAAAAAAGATAAATAAATTGAGAGAGCTGTGAGCCCCCAAGGAGGGCATCCTCTTTGACACTCACTTCAGGTATTTGGCCGAGGATGATAATGGTCAAGCAAGAAGCTCCCAGAGGGCAAAGCCAGGGGCCCCAGCAGACAGAGGACAAGAGGGTTACCCCCAGGGCAGGAAGGGGAGGCAAGGTATACTCCAGGGCAGCGAGTCTTCACACTTCTTGCCCGGCAGGTTTGATAACTGCCTGGTCCGGTTCACCAGGTGTTCTGTCCTTTCCTTTTCCTATTGGGAGATTTGAGACTGTTAGCCTTTCCTACTCCATGTTGAATATAGCAGGATTAGGCGTGAAGTGAAGGGAAGGTGATCATTTTTTAATTTTCGGCCATTAGATTAGCAGGGCCACATCTGGACCCAAGAAATGGGGCTGTGCACCACCTCAGGATCCCGCTTTTAGACCTCGATGTAGTGACTGGATAGATCTTGGACTGCCATCCTCAGGAAAGCGGTAAGTGGGTAAAGAGATGTACACAGATACTTAAAGGCCACAGAGGGTCTTGTGGTAAAGACTAATTGTTCCCAGTGGTCACTCTCCCAATAGATGCTTAGCTGGGCACATGGCTACCCGCTGAAGACTACATTTCCCAGCCTTCCCGGAAGCTTCCGGTA